CTAAGAATCTTTCTTCTGAACCTCGTGGGTAGCTTATAATGGGAGCCTGATGCTTCTTTTTGTGGAGTATATGGTTTCCTTCTTTAACGCCTCTGTTCTTCTACTTGCTTACATTCATGATTGTGTTTGGTGAGCACCCGCACTGTTTCCAATACTAGTTAATGATATGAAACGGTGGACATTCTTAACCTGATATTTTTATCGATTCTTTTTTTTCATTTTTTGGATATAGAATGGACATAGCTTTTGAATCGGTAGAAAAGAAGTTACATTAACAATGTGTAAGTTGCCAAAACATAGGTCTGTATACATCTACTGATTACTGACGATGGGTGCGCCGGCGCTACAGCTCGCTCCGTAGAAGCTACCGCAAAGGCTCCATAAGTCTGAATTCAAGCCCTGGATGACTACCATCACGCAGTTTAACCTGCAATGAGTCGGGATGATAAATGGAGCAGCCGAATGCGTCGGGACAGAACCTGGCGCAGCTACTCAACGAGCTCACCACAGAAACTCAGCGCAGGCGGCAGACGCCAGATGCCAGCCAGAGGAAACTTACGGGGTCCAGGAAGCATAAAGCCAAAGTCAATGTTCAGTCTGTTTACGAAGGCGGTGCGAGAGGACTCTTCGGGGCTTTCCTACTAGAGAAATGCAAAGTAAAAGAAATTCCTGGTCGGTAGCACAACTTCAGCCAAATAAACACACTTCCTGCTAGGAAAATACTCAGTAACATACAATTTCGATTGCCTGAAATCGGTCTTGACTCCATGTACATCTACTGAGACAGCTAAATCTCTACCTACAACCGATAGCGGAAGCCGACTGTATTCCAATCGGTCGCATCCTCATAATCCTCCGCCTGCAACTCGACGGACTGCACCAATACAGACACATCATTCCCATCCTGTCGCTGATTGGCAACTTTGCCACCAACAGCACCAGCCAGAGTGGCCGTACCTTGGACACCCTCTTCTCGATCACGCTTCTGATTGAACCACTGCAGATAACATCGCAGCGATAGAGCCAACGCAGCCGAAATAATATAGCAGATGAGGATGGCGCGAAACGAAGTCTGATAGAGGGGGGCCTCGCTCGACTTGAAGAACTGCGGCCCCGCAATATTTCCCGCGCAGTAGGCGATAAACATCATTGAGGTGATGGTCATTTTCTTGGTGACACCACGGTAGTTCGCCTGCAAGAGGGACATGATGAGTGGGAGGGCACCGGGACCCGTGGACAGCAGAAAGTAGCCGAAGAGCTGGGCGCCGAGGGGCACATGGTGAGCACGAGCATAGATGATGGCACTGCCAGTGATAGACAATGCGACAATACACACAATCAGCAGGCAATTCCAATGGTGGGACCGACTGGCTAGCCAGCCGGTGAGGGCGATGGTGCCGGCACTGATCACACTGGCAGGGATGACAATCAGTGTCGACTGAAGTGATGTAAAGCCGAAGGATTTGATGACGAGGTTGCCAAAGTTCTGTGTCCCGCCATTAGGGATCTGGGTCAGCACTGCCAGGGCGAACAGGTGCCACGTCTTGGGGTCGCAGAGGCATTCCATGAACTGCGCCCATTTCCATGTCGTCTTCTCTGTCCGACCGGTACCCGCGATCACGGCACGGTGAGCCATGAATTCTCGTTCTTCGGGAGTGAGGAATGTGGCTGTGGAGATGCTATCTGGAAGGAAGGCGAAAAGCACAAACCCCCAGAGAAAGGTGGCCACGCCGAGAATAATGAACATCCACATCCAGGGATGCAGGGGATGGTCAATGTGGCCGATGCCATAGGCGAGTAGACTGGCGACGAGCCCGCCGACCGAGTTGCCCGAAAACCAGATGCCCGTGCGGAAGGGAATCTCATCGCGGGTGTACCACGTCGAGGTAAGGAACATAAAGGCCGGTGTGATGGTAGCCTCTGCAACCCCGAGAAGGAATCGCACGGTTAACAGACCGCCGTAGTTGGTACAGGCGGCCGTCAGGGCTACCACGGCGCCCCAGAACCAGGTGTTGATGGACAGGTATTTGGCCACGGGCACCCGAGGAATCAAGACGTTGGTTGGCTGAAGGGGAGTCAGTTATCTCACGAAGATATCGAGATGGATTGCGGTCGCACCCATTCCCAGAAGAAGTATCCAAAGTAGAAGATGCTGGATACCCAGCTGTACTGCTGGCCGACCAAATGCTGGCGGATATGTGTTAGTCATACCGAAGATGCATGATGAAAAGGTGCTCACAGTATCTTCGATCAATCCAAATACCGATGCACTCGACAGGATAGTTTTGTCCATAAAGTTGAGCAAATACGTGACGAAGAGAAGAGGCAGGAGACGACTGTCGACCTTGCGTAACACGCGGGAGGCGATCACCGGCGACTCTTCGGGCGCGTCGTGCGCCTCTGCAGCGGGTGCGACCGTGTCCATCACAATAAGTCGCAAAGTTGAGGGATTAGCAAAGGATGATAGGCCTACACGGGTCGAGATTCCAAGAGAGATGATTAAGAATGATATTTAGAGCTTTGAAGACAAGTGCCATATCTTTTCCCCCGCCGGATCCCTTCCGATATCTTGTGCCAACCACCAATCGGCAACATGTACCCTAATAGCAAGGGATCGCCGCTGCGATACGCTATCCACCAATAATCTGCAGGTTTATGATCTGCCAGCCGTGCACTTTGTAGCTACAATCTGCCCATTGCTTCATGCCATTGTGTTCTTCTTTCTGCCACGCTTCTACATCTCTGGTTTCTGTGACCTCCCAATACTCTCAACAACCGATGGAAGCAGTCGATCCACCGCTCGCCAGATGGCCGAGGAACCTGGATATTCAAAAGTCGCCCCCACATAGTACGTATTGCGGTGTCCCTGCAGCTTCTTCAAGTCGTGGTAGAATCCGTCTTCGATGGCCTTCCGGCCAACTGACATTTCGAAGGGGGAATGGTCGGCAAACGCCAGGAATTCCGGGTCGCCGACATCGTATCCAGCTCGGCGCAGTCCCAGAATATCCTCCACAATCGCCCCCTTGACTTGTTCCTCCGTCATTGGCTCCTCGCTACCGTATCCAACGGCCATCACACCTGGTACTGCGGTCGGATACATCATCAAGATACACGGAAGAAGGGGAAGCGAGTAAGGTCTGTCGGACCCACGATTCACAATCTGGACTCCCTCGGGGCATCCGTCTACCCGCACCAGGCCAGCATAGTAGTGTCCGTAGATGAATTGACCGAACAGAGAAGACTCAAATTCATCCAGATCTAGGCCATCCAGCACATGCCCAGTCGGGGGCGCAGCCAAGATAGTCGTGTTGGCCTCGATCATCCAATCTGTGCCATCCGTCGATTCCACCGTCAATCGGTGCATTTCGTCATCTTCCCGACACGCGTTCATTACCACGCTATGAAGCAGAGCATCGTCTCCCAGTTCCTCCAGAGCAGCCTCGTATAGTTCCGAGTTATGGTGCCGAGCAGTGGATAGAAAGCCCGATTTAAGTGCTCGTAACATATCCAACGACACGAACTTCATTAGATAGACGGTCGGGTAGTTTAGCCAGTTGCGCACCCCCTGGCTGTAGATACTGATCAACTCGACGGCAGCCCCAAGGTCGTATTGGTCCACGAATTCTCCGAAAGGCATCAGGAGATCCTCCGGTATGTCTTCCGGGAGGTCCCATCCCTCCAAAAGATAGGGATATTGACGGAGAATGTCTCCGTAGCGTTCCAAAGCCTCGCTGACATTACCAGGATACGGCTCGACGACTTCGCCGGTCTCAAAGTCAATGCGTTCCATGTATCCGCCGCCATTTGAAGCCTTTACAAATGGCACTGCAAGATGAGAGAAAAAGTCTATGGTCTCCGGTGAATCTTCAAACAGGGTCACCCCGAAGTCAAGCGGCGTGTCCGTGCTCGGCTCAATATACGTGACAGTATGGCCACCCAAACGACCAGTCTTCTCAACCACAACGACTGAATAACCTTCTTGAAGTAACTTTATCGCAGCATAAGTACCCGCAGCGCCGCCACCGATAATACAAACGTCTCGGCGAATAACCTCGCATTCACTGCATGAGGACGAATTAATAGTGCTGGATTGACCGATTTGGAAACACGTTGCAAAAACAAACAGAAGTATGGGCGATTTAGCGAATGGACAGAGCATGATTGTGAAGTGCACGATGGACCCGATACGTATCATGCCTGTGTGCTGTTGGTGGTCAGAGCGACCTATCTATACCCGCCGACTACCAGGTTGAACGAGGTCTGCGGTGATAGCAATGTGGCAAACTAATGCCAAAAGAAGGACAGACATCCTTCCTGCAGTCGTCTGCCAGTACAAAGATGCACGTTTGCCTGGATCTTGCCGTTTCTGCTGTTACTCTGAGGGATAGCAGGTGGTACCCGGTGATCGACTGGACCAATTACGACAGTCATGGGATGCGATGACCACCTGTCATACATTCCTATAATGGCAGTAACCTCAATCCTTCCATTGTGATTTGCCAGCTCCGCCACCTCGAGAAAGCTTGAGCACCAAGAAGCTCAGACGTTCTGCCGCAAGACGTCTCACACCGTGGACAAATTAACAATCCATCCGGAGGATGCATATACCCAGGCGCAACAGACAATGCTGTGTCCGGGGAAATCAAACCAGGTGAAGTGCAGTATCGCCATCAGCATGTGATAGGCATATCTACCAGAAAGGCGCGTCATGATGAAATATCAATGAACTAATAATATAACGATGAGACAGATAGCTTTATTATACATAGTTCCGTTGTAGTTGAACAGTTTCTGCTTGTCATGGCCAGTGGCAGCGAGTCCGTGCGCTAGGTATTACTAGTAATCCTCTGAGGGTAATTTCTCAGGGTTTTGATTGCCTGGAGTAAAGAAGGAAACAAGCAGATTGTATCACATGATCGCACAATGTAGAAGGACCTGTCCTGTGTCACGCACTTTGGTCCAACAAAGTCGGTCCAGCTACCGCGGCAGTAGTACTGTGATCAGGCGCACTTGCCACTCTGGCAGGTGAGATTGTCGGAGCAGTCGTTCTCGGTTGAGCAGGAAGCTCCTGAATGCCATGGGTCAGTGTAACACAAAGCACAGGTTCAAAGAAGGGTCATACCGGCACAATGGCCTGACCAGGAGCAGGAAGATGAGGAGGAGCCGGACCCGGAGCCAGAGCTGGAGCTCGAACCCGAAGAACCGGAACTGCAGTAGCTTGAAGCGTCGGCACTGCTATAAGTGTTCGATGTATAGCATTTGCCGCTCGCAAAGAGCTCGTCCGCTTGGTTGATCAGTTAGGTCATATCTGGTAAGTACTGCCTGGGGTCTTTAACATACAGTTGACGGTGTAGGAGGTTCCCGGGCTGATGATGACGGTTTGAGAATCATCCGGGGTCAAAGAATCTTCGCAGTCAATCTGGGTATCGCCACCACTGGACTTGGTAGACCCAGTCCAAATATCGATGTGGAGCTTGCCGTTGTCATAATCGGTAGCTGTTTCTGTCAGCGGAGGCACACTACTAAGCGTGAGGGTACTTACTACACTGCGCGCAAGTGTCCTCGAAGCGGAGGTACTTGCGAAGGTACGGCAGATAGATGATCTCACACTTTTCAAACTCCCCAGGAGCAGTGGCAAAGGTAAGAGGGTCATCATACGTGCCGGTGCCTAGCAGCTGTTAGCTTTGACATACTCAGCCCGAAGAACTTCGAGAACGTACCTCCTGCCGTGTAACCACGACCACAATCATAGGCAATGTCCGCACTGGGAGGATCGTTGTCAGGATACCCGTAAAAGGTAATTTCCACATCAGACTCGGTCGAACACGCCACGGATGCCGAAAGAAGGCCGGCGACGGCAAGAAGTGTAAGAACCTTGGAGCTCATTGTATGATGAGAAAGAATATTAAGCAAAAAAATAGTAGTAAGAATACTGCGTTGCCAAAGAACATGAGGAACTTTGGAGTGGGAAAACCGCGTTTATATGCTTCATGGTCTGGCTAGGGAAGTTACGATGAATATTGTCCTAGAGTCAGTCTCCTGTAAATGCCGAGGTGTCATTGAAGCGATCGCCTACATCAGGGTATAGACGCTATGTTTCAGCCTACTACCTGTGAAATCCTTCTATCAGCGGAAATACGAGATGCCCAACTGTTCTCAGGGATAGACTGAAAGAATTGACTGATCGACACATCCTAGTGCTTATCGCCTGTACCCCAAATCTGACTATCCCAAGCTTCTGTGGTATGATGCCCCAGGTTTTGCGAAAAGGAATGACCGGGGAATTATCGAGCAATATTTATTCATTCCATGTCACTCTCCTACTCGACCATACAGCGTTATCTGGCTTTTCCGCAGATACACCGCTCTCACAGCAGTTATCAGGGTGAGACACCTTCCGTGGCGGCCCCAAATCAATTTTCAAAGCGTTCTGGAGGTAGCGTGGGGTCCGAAAACCCCGGGTCTCTAGCGGGCAGATCGGGTTCAATATGGGCCCGACATCTCCATTTAGCGAGGGCACTGGAGCTTGATCATTATATGGTGGCCCCATCCAGGTCTATTCTTAGAAATAGCTCAGCTGTGGAGTTTCCTGTCAAGGGCCGATTTGGATCTGCTGGTCCGATGGAAATATCCCCCTTGGACGTTCAGGGACAAGAGATATCCTGATATTGACAGCTGCTTAGCGGCCTTTCTGCGGGCGCGGCCAAATGATCCTACTTCATAACGGTTAGCACACCTCTATGCTTGCTTCAGGGGATTTTCCGAAAGAGGAAGGTCAATAGTGTCTGAATCATCGTGCCTCGGAAAATGTGAGTTCGGGGGTGGTATCCGTTATTAATGGCTTCTCAGGAAGCGGGCGTTGGACAATACGAGAGTTCAATAAACATACTAGCCCCACCGCTAGGAAAATGCCCTGTTGTTGCTGTTATTAGTGGGTAATACACTAAAGGGTCCATATCTTTGGCCATTGCATACAGGGTATCGCACGTTAGCTGATGGCATGAATTTGGCCCTACTGGATTACACTATCAGGCGCACGTTGCCATGTCAACTTAGAGTTGAGAGAATTGTCGTGTCCCCAAGGACCACAAGGGCTTTTGCAGAATCCCCAAAATGCCAAATTCTCGGATTGAATAGAGCCGATAAGAAAGCTTGTGATCCTTAAAGCTGCCCCTGACTCGGAATAATGCGGTTGCCCTGCATGGTCTTCCGATGGGGCCAAAACTTAGGGCCGTCGGGGTCCTACCTTGCCCCTTTGCGGAACGGGTTCAAGCGCGCATCAAGTCCATACTAGTGCTTCTTGTGCAGGCAACAACACAAGATGGTATGGTGATGCTAAAGATAGATACTATATCCTCATCTTAGATCAATACTGCCAGCCCTGATCCAACAATGGAGTAGGTAACCTGCGACCTCTTTGCGATGATGAAGGGAAGAGGCATTATATATGAGAACACAACATCTATTGTGGGCAGACTGACAAACACAAGCTAGATGAGACAGTTGACTTTAATAATCATAAAAATCATAAAATACACCGCCGGGAAAAAAAAAATGCAAGCTATTCAAACGGACGAAACCTCCATCTCCACCGGCACCGACATGAACTTTTGCGTCTTAATCACCTTGTCGGAGTAACGGTCTCCGCGCCCCAGATAGCAGTTGACCTGGCTAGGGTGGATGAACTGGAGTACCTCCATCGCCAGGAACATCAGCAGCGCATCAAATACATAGATGAAAACCTCGTGTTTCATAAGGTAGCCGTCGTATCCTTGGAGATATTCTACCACACGGACGATGGAACGGACAAAGATGAGGATGCTGGAGATGTAGAGGGCGTTCATATGGCGACGCCAGATGTGCGACAGTTCCGTCGAGGTGCTAGTGGGAGCCTTTGCCAGTCGCATTTGAAAGACGAGCGCTGTGATGATAAAGAAGCCGAAGAAGATAATTTGAACAAAAAGACCGCCGATGATAATGTGCTCGCCCGTGGTTGGGTCGCTCGAGCCACTGACCATGAGACCAGCGCCTACTGTCATTAGCGATGCTGCATCAGAAGACGGGAAGCTGGGGAAGAACGCACCAGACGCTTGCATCAGGAAGGAAAGAACATCGCCCGCGACAAAGATCTTTGTCACCCACTTCACTTTGAACACCGAGTAGTGTTCTGCTTGTACCAGCCGGATAATGCGACCGAGGGTCATGTAAATACTCGCCGCCAGGAAAGCCGGGGCGATGAGGATAAGGGCGCTTTGCATGGCATACGAGCCCGTGCTGTATTCGGGGCTTTCGAGCGATGAGAGCAGACGACCAACATATCCAATCGTTTCCACTGTGGGATTAGGCTTCAGGTCAGTGATAGTCCTGCAGTTATCGTTGAGAGTAGTGACTGACAGATTCCGCCGATGAAGAAGGGGATCATGAACCATGTTCTGGTGCGGACCAGCTGGAGAAAGTGCAAGACAGTGCTGATGCCGAACAGAACCACAAAGATGCCTGCTGCCGCAGCAGAGGGTGTGTAGTAGTATAGGATGAATTCCATGGCTGGTATGCGATAGAGAAGAGCTGGAGTCGATAAGGTCGCAAGGAGGTAGGGAGCGAGCTTCTGCTTTTATGGAGGGCCATCATCGTTGTCTCCCACTTTTGCAAGGTACCAATATGGCAACGGTCGCGATATACGAGAGACGATAGTGCATCTGTCCCTGAACCTCACATTGAAGACCCGTGGCTGTGAAATCAAGCTCTGCCCTACGTGGTGCTCCTCGTTTTCGTTGCGTATGCCGTTTCGGGTAAGATGCCATTCGTACTCGCACTCTTGCCCCAAACAGGCAATATCCGGGTGATCTCCAGTGGATCGGGAATGTTTAAATCTCTACTTTTCTGAATTTTTTATTTGATCCGGAGTGATTCCGTCTTAGAACTTTTTATGTTTCGTATGCTACACACTAAATACCCTTAAAAAACCATAGATAATATTTCAGCTGCCTAAATGGCTTGCTGCGCCCGCTGCTCCTTCTGAGCGAACGAATCCATGGGCTTCAAGTTCGCCTTGGACGGTCCCTCCACACAAACGCCATCGCAGCTGAAGCGACTACCATGCACAGGGCAATCCCAGCTCTTCTCAGTGTCGTTCCAATTCAACACCGCCTTCATGTGCGGACAGACAGCGCTGAACTTATGCGCCTTGCCTTGCTCATCTTTGTACACGGCTACGGGGTTCGTCAGACCCTCCTTGATCACGCCTCCGGAGCCGACGGCCAGATCCTCGATGTCCTTGATGTCGGACTTCATCCAGCGCTTGTACTGGGTATTGATTTGAACATCATGCGCCAGCATACTGGGCAGGGACTTGGCGATGCTGGACAGTCGGTGGGGGTTGTATAGGCTGGCCCATGGATTGGCAATGCCCATTATCTCGTCCGCAATGAGTCTACCAGCAAGCACGCCGTGTGTGAGACCGTTGCCGCTGTCTCCTGTGACAATGTATGTATGATTCAGACCCTGGTTCTTTCCAATGAATGCCATGTAGTCCACAGGCTCGAAGATCTGTCCACTCCACTTATAGTCGACTGTCCCGGCCTTGGTGAAGCGTTCGCGGACCCAGGTCTCGAGTTCCTCGAAACGCCCACTGGTGGTATCTTGGCCAACCTTATGATCGCATCCTCCGACCACTAGGTAGTCGTCATTCTCATCGCATTCGGTGAAACGAATGTACTTGTATGCTTCTGCCTCGTCATACAGAAGGCAGTCTTCGATCGAGCCCTTGGGAACACGAATGGCAATGCAGTAGGTGCGCATGTACTCCATCTCCGCAATGACGCTCAGTTTCTGAAGAGGCACACAAGTCGCCTCGACCATATCCTTGGCCGTGATAGTGTACCCGTCTGTGGTTGTCACTTGCACCAGGCCACTCTCACTGGACGACATCATGCGAGTGTGCGCATAGCATTGAAAGTTTGGCTGCTTCTGCAGCCACTCAAGTACGCCGACAAAGTACTTGGTCGGGTGGAACGTCGCCTGGTCTGCAAAAATGGCACCGTCCCGCTGGTCGATGCTGCCATCCCACCCCTTCACGGTGAGGCCATCGCGGTAGGACGCAGGAAGACCAAGCTGCTTCGCCAGCTCAACTTCCTTCTTCAGGCTGGAGACCTCTTTATCATGGTTTGGGTCCCCACGGGGGTACTGGGAGATCTCATAGCCTGGAAGCGTGCGGTACTCGCACTCGATTCCGAGTGATCGGGAAATCTCCCCGACTCGCTTGAGCGCCCAGGTATGGCTCTCAGCGGCGGCTTTGGCACCCTGGTGTCCATGCTTCTTCTGGATCTCGGTGTATCCATCGTCCAAGGCATTGGACAAATGGCCACTGGTACGGCCACTTTCGCCGGACAGGACATTGCGGGCCTCGATCATGGTCACTCGCTTTCCACGATTGACCAGCTCATAGGCAATGGAGATACCGGCAATACCTGAGCCGACAATGCAGACTTCGGTTTCGACGTTCTCATTTAATGATGGGAACTTCGGATATTTGGAGTACGGCATAGAGTGAACCCAGACGGGGTCCGTCTCGCCGGAGGTGTTCATCCAATGGGTGGGGCTGGACATGGTGGCTAGTTTGCGTGATTTGGGAGGGGGAGCAGAAGTTGAGTATGAAGAGACAGTATACAGAAGTTGACAATTGACGCGTTTGAACGAAGTAAGCTTACTAGCAGGATGGCAGGCGAAGCCGCGGAAGCTCAGTTTATACAACATGGCAAGGTCGTGCAGAGCAAGACCAACCCTTCACTATCAACTGGAAGATTGGGTGTTCCAATGCGGGTTTATGTTGACGATATACCCCGGGGGCATCATGATGACATAACGACGGACCCAAGAATTGAATTGTGCAAAAGCTAGATAAAGTTCGTTCTGGGATCGAGACAATGGAGCCAAGGACCTCGAATCTGCCTGAAACCGGGTTTAGAGTCAATTTCCCAGAGATTGGTGGTGGAAGCATAGCCTAGACCAGCCTGCGTGGATGTAGCATGCGGGGCGTGGAGATACCATAGAAGACCATTTCGTTTGTGGGCAGACTGTCAAACCCCAAGTAGGCCTGCGTGTCCCATCTTTTAGGTTACACAGCATAAGCTCCGACCCAGCTAGAGGGTATGGCTTGTTGTAGGTTAGACTTCACAAAGGACTCTTGTCACTTGACCTGCGCATAGCGGTAGCCTCTAAGCGTATAACTCAGCCACCCAGTCATGGTGGTCTTTAGTACTCAATGGCGGAAAATATATCCCCACCATCTCAGCGGAAAATTTCCCAGCCATTCACCCCACATTCTTTCAATTGGAGTGTTTCATGCTGCTACTGATAAGCATTAATCATGACATTCTCAGTGGCGATAAGCCCCCACTAATTTACCGACGAAATTTGGTGACTTTTCAAGTGATGTACTATCAATAACACCAAGTATGACCTCACCATGACTCCCGGACCAATGACGCCATCACCACCCAGTCCAACCAACCCTAACGAACGAATTTCCGATACTCCTAATCCGCCATCTCCCATTACCAACAATTGACTCTTCTACTCCATGTTTTATTTACATTTTACCTCCTGCGACCCGTTGCCTCCATTGACAATTCCATAACCACCAAAATGCCTCGCAAAGTATCCTTCTCCGAAACTCAACTACCCAACTTTGACAAACCTATCCGTCCACCCTCGATCAGCGTCGACTTTTCCACCACTGTCCCCGAATGCCCCGTCACTGCGGCCCGCCAACCAGCTCGCTATACCAACGACTACATTGAGAAACCGGGTGTGCCGCGGGCCAACACCACCGCGTCAATTGATCGGCCGGACGGGGATGAGAGCTATACAAAGCAATTTGGCGATTTTGTATGTAATAGCCTCAATAACCATTCTACTTAATCGATTGAACATACCACTAATTTGGTTATTGATAAAGACACCCCTCCAACAACATGTCCTCTTCTGGGACCGCGACCGCGACGGGCAAATCTACCCCTGGGATACATATAACGGCTTCCGCGATCTAGGATTCAATATGCTCTTTTCCTTTCTAGCCGTTCTGATCATCAATTTGAACTTCTCTTATCCGACCCGTCTGGCGCATTCGTATCTCCCGGACCCGTGGTTTAGGGTATATGTGGATGCGGTTCACAAAGCAAAGGTACATACCCACCCCCATGGGGTATTTACGCCTTCACTAAGGGGAGATTGCTAATGGACGAATGGTTAGCATGGCTCCGATAGCAATACCTACGACCCTGAAGGGCGCTTCGTTCCCCAGTCGTTCGAGAATATGTTCGCCAAATATGATCGAGATGGTGATGGCGCATTGACGTTGCGGGAGCTGTTTGATATGATGCATGGGAATAGATGTGCGGCTGATCCGTTTGGTGTATGTTCACTCTTCTCTCCACCAATCGCGCAAAAGATAGATGTAACTGACATGGAGTCTAGTGGGGAGCTGCGTTGTTCGAATGGGGTACTACGTGGTTGCTGATAGAGAAAGACGGCAAGGTATGGAAGGAAGATGTGCGGGGTGTATATGATGTATGTATATCTATCCCTTGGCTGGAGTGAGAAATACAGCTAATGATTATTACAGGGCTCATTATTCTGGAAGGTACGCGAAGCGAATCGTTCAGGACGGGGGTGGTCTCAGGGCTTTAGACCTGGATTATGGGTGAAGCGGACAGTGAAAGGATATTTGAATGCATATTTGGATGGCTGAGCATACATGCATTGCATTAGATCATTGTACACTTGTTTAGAACGATTACATCGCCATCATTCATGTATAACTTCATCATCGAGCATAGTACCAACGAGTTCATGCATTAAAGACCAGAACATGAATTGAGGCAAACAGCACTCTCGGTTAATAAGTGTATAAGTAAACTGTTTTGCTGCAATTCCTATTTACTTACCCAATTGGGGTGCCGCCGCTTTTATAAGGGCAGCACGTAAATAATCTGTGCGCGCTCTGGGATACTTACAGATTACTTACAAAGCACACACCAGAAAACTCCAGTCGCTTCCAGATTACTCTGGCTTATTTAACCAGCAATCCTAAGCAGCTCCTGCTTACTCACTGCAGCAACCCACATAATTAAAACAGACTCTTTAAACCGTGTACAATTAATATTTATTAAAATCTGAGATACTGATACAAACCTACAAAATTTAAGAACATCATCAAAATAAGGACTATCAGTTTTTTTTAGTTTTCCTAATCCAAGATATTTTCAACAGTGTAGTAGATATACTTTAACTATTAAAAATAAGATATTAAATACTTGAAGAAGCACCTTCAAGCCAGTCTATTAATTACTTATTAACCCACAAGGATCCCTATAATATTGACAACCGAGAGGACATAGGGTGAAGGGATATATGTATGGGCTCGAAGGAGATACAGCATATATATATATTAGGACATGTACTGATAGATCGTTTCAGTTGCCCTTTCGGCTTAGCCACCGGGCGTTAATGTAGTGTGTGTGTGTGTATTCCAAGTCCGAAGAGCCTGTTTGGAAGTGGGATCAATTGAAGCTATGTGGTCAGAGTATTGACATTATTTTGGACCGCCGAAATCCCCCACAGTCAGCCAGCAAACTGTCCGGATGGAATCAGTAAATGTGTATCCCAAATTTCCCAGTCCGGGAACCCAGGCTGGGAAATTGGGATCAATTTTATATCCCGGAACCAGCGCTGGGATGAAGGGATAGTCCCATTTTCCGGACCAGTCTGGGTCTGGTCCGGGCCCGGTCCGGGATTTTCTGGTTCCTGCGGAAGCCTACGGGCAAGGCACACCTATCGGGGCTTTTGGGTATGGTGTTCTGCTTCGACTCAGTAGAGGAAACTTTTTACTGTCCCCAGCATAGAGACTAGCGGCCCCGTATTATCACATCTTCACCAAACCTCATCACGAATCGACATATTCAACTCGGTTGATCGATGGCGATCAGAAGAAGAGTTATCAATTGGAATGACTGAAAGCATCCGGGAAGCTGCAGAAGTTGATCGGAAGGTCATTAGTAGACCTCAATTGCAGCACTCAGTAGGCGTCTCCTTTGTCACGTATGTGGATTATAAATGTGTTGGGCCGGGAGGTTCTAGAGCTGATATCATTCCTTGGTTCTCTGCGGATAGCGTGGCTCTAAGTCCTGTTCAGGCCTAGTTACTTGGGAGCCTTGTGTAAGCATCGAACCCACTCCCACGGAGACATTCACAAGTCTGGTCGGACTAATTCGGAACCGCAAAGTTGGTTCTGCTTTAAAAATGCTTGATGCCGAACCTAACCTCTGTCGCTGAGCTTTTGGACATTGAACAACAACTTGGTTCAAGCAGGTCGATGAAGATGCCCCGAATCGTACTTTACCAGTATCCCGGCTCCCCTTGGGGCGCCAAGGTGGCCTTTTATCTGGCCCTTCGAGGTATCGCATACAGCGAATGCCACCAGCCCATGACATGGCCACGGCCAGATCTTGAGCCACTCGGCATCCGATACCGTCGGATCCCGATTATGGCGATTGGGAGAGATATTTACTACGACTCCTCTCTCATTTTCGACAAACTGGAAGTCCTGTACGCGGAAAACCGGATGGGCGCTACGAAGCCGTCTGAGCAGGCTCTGGAGAAGTTGACCGAACGATGGGTCGAGACATGCGTGCTCCCCTCGGTTTTCTCTTTGCTGCCCACCGAGCTGCCATTTGTCAAGGACGAAAAGTTCCTCCAAGATCGGATGACGCTATGGGGGGAGGATATGAGTGCAAAAGCCATCTCCAGTGGCCGATCCAGGTCTTTGGTGGAAATGCAAGGCCACTTTGCTTTTCTAGAGCGTCTGCTGCAGGATGGACGGACATGGCTGCAGGATACTCCTGAACCCAGCTTGACTGACATTCATGGTACGTATGACTCCTACTCGCGGCACCCAAGGCCGGAAGCTCACCAACTTGCTTATAGCCGTCTTTCTGATCGACTGGCTTTCGAAAATGCCGGGCGCCTTGCCAAACAATTTCTTCCCTACCGATGTCTATCCGCGCACGTGGGCCTGGCTTGGAAAGTTCCAAAGTACACTTGCGGAGTGCCAAGGCAGAACCGGGGCGCCAATTCTACTCGCCGGACCCGATGCAGCAAAGCAGATTCTGGCATCCGATTTTGGCGAGCCTCAGGGCATGACCTCTGCCACGACTGGGGAGGAGGAGGATCCCACCGGGCTGAAGAGGGGGCAGTTGGTTGCCGTCTATCGAAATGATGACATCATCTCCCGCACCAAGCATCGAGACATCGGGCGTCTGATGTCATTAACCCCACATGAGATCGTGGTAGCAATTGGCGCGGGTACACGCTCAGAAGTGCGAGTCCACTGTCCTCGGTGGCAGTTTGCGATAGAAGGGGTTGAGGAATAGATAAGAGAATATGAATAATTGGGATAGGGGAAATGATGCATAATTTAGTGGGGCATTTCAGAACCCCAACACGTAACATATCCCAACACTGTAGCTCAGCGTAGTCTGAAATTAATTGGTAATAGATTCAAATCATAAATTCTAGAATTAGACTTTATCTACCTAAAATAAGAACCTATAGATTAACTAATATAATGATATATTATCTATTTTAAGTCCACTCTCTTCTTATCTTGGTTGTACTGTCTAACCATGACCAAGATCCATCTTGTGGAACGCCCTCTCGAGCAGCTGCAAAAACGGCCTCAAGTTGCTAGCAATTCCCATTCCGCATCACATTCAGCAATTCTTCCTTGGAAGACGAGTTTCAGCTCTTCCTGAGCAAGTTCTAATGAGATTACATCTTCATCGATAGCACGCTGCCTGCTTGACCGGGTATCTCCGTTTTTAGATTTTACTGGAGCCATATGGTAGTGCAGCCACTATGGCGTAGACCGGGGAGGGCTACAGGGGTGCTCGTTTATTATCTCTTAGCCACCCTGATCCCTTGAAGCTAGTCAGTCAGTAAGGGAAGTACGGAAATAATGGACATGGACTATGGGATAAAGCGTATGGTAGGCTTCAACAGCCATTTCAGAGTAGATAAGATGGGCGCTTTTGGTTCTTGCAGGATCAAGACCAGAAACCATAGCTGCAAAAACAAACCGTGGAGTATGTTCTGTCCGAAGTTTGTTCGAGATAGACCAGAGTACGAGTGATCCAAATTGCGAGATTGTTCCACCAGGTTAGCGTCAATCAAAGACTGGCGATCAGGGGCAGGCTTGGCGAACTACTGCACGGCATAAATAAGGCATTATCTTAAATCTAGCCAACAACAGTACTAGCTAATAAGTATACCGAAACCCCGGCAGATCCCCGATAACCAACTCTCCCCGATCCACGCGACGATTGCGCAGATACAACCGAATGGTCAACAACCCCACCAGCACTATCGCAGCAGCCTGCAACCCAATACAGGTAAGCATTCCCGGCCGATACTCCGGAGCATCCTGAGACCGAAAGACCAGAGATCCGACCATGCCGCCCGACGCACCGAGACCGACAAAGATGGCGCTGCAGGCCGCTCGCTTCCACTGACCGCGGACATTGTTTGCCTAAAGTCAATCAGCACTGATACTATGATGAGAGGGATGTATAATGGTACCTGATATGCCATAGCAGCAGGAACATTCGAGTTGGCTCCCATAGTAGTAAGGAAGCACCCGACCAGTCGTGGCCCGTTGCCCTTGGTGAAGGTCTAATCTTGTCAGCTGTGTTTACCATTACATTCGTATGGGGAGAATTGACCATCAAAGGCAGCCCAATCAACGCCAACATGGCATTGAAAACAATAATGGGTCCCCGCAACCGATACTTATCCCCAATCCACGATGTCGCCATCATGGTAATCCCTGCAGCCACGTACGGTGGAGCGAAGAGACACAACGATGCTCCCATCGAAAAGCCCATTCCCTGCCTGTATATCAGAGGTAAAAAATATGCAATCGAATAGGCAGTGGATGTAGTGCAGAAGTACACTAGTCCAAATCCCCAAATATTAATGTCCAGTGCAGCGACAAGGTATTTCTTCAGATTGAACGGCTCGAGTCTCACGTCTCCGCGGTCATCGTTGATCTGGTGAGTAATGAAGTCGTATTCTCGGTCCGACAGGAATCGACTCTTGCTTGATCGCATACGATCCAGGAAATTGATTAGCACGAAGTAGCTGATGGCTGCTAGCGTGCAAGTGAGGAGGCCTTGGATGACGAAAATCCAACGCCAGGCTGTGAGGCCGCCTAGGCCGTTCTGTTCGAGCCAATTCTTAGCATGAAAGCAATGAAGAATATGGGGGTCGCGTACCATGAAGGTGATGCCATAAGAAAGAATACCAGTGAATGCCGATGCCACACAGCCGAGAAGGTAGAAGATGGCAAATCGCTTCTGCATCTGATAGCGGGTGTACCAGGTCGCAATAAGATAGACAGCAGCAGGGAAGAACCCTGCTTCCAAGGCTCCGATGATGATTCGAATGCCAGCTAGTTGAGCCCAGTTGTGGACGAATCCACCGCACATCTAACAGGTTAGCTCTTCGTCGGGAGGGGTGTTCCAGTGATATCTTACCATAGCAATACCCCATATAAAGCAAATGCCCGCAAGGAAGATCTTCGGGCCCAGCCTGCGAATCAGCACAGGACCCAGCATTTGCAGACAGATGTAGGGAGGAAAGAACACGACAGCAATGATATTCTATACGACTGTGTTAGTATAGACATGTTTCTTCAACGGTAGAGAAAAACTCACATATTGATTACCCTGGAGGTGCAATTCCTTCTCCATTCCCGCAACCGCTGCAGTAGACAGGTTTCCCCGGTCAAGCAGCGATACGGTGTGCAGGAACCCCAGCATGACAATCAATCGGGCGTCAACTCGACGGATAACCCGTCGCTGCTCCTGTGGAGTCAGCTCCGTATCATCGGTTCGGGAGCTCTCTGCCTCAACGGACAGGCCTTTGATGGTGTCGTCGTCGGCCATCATCCCGAGTTGAGGACGTTGCAACTAAACCGTCGGCTACATTGATGGGAGTGCTCTTGCTCCTAGGGAGATGTGTAGGACCTAAAGTATGATCAAAGCAATGATGCAAATTTGGTATCGATGGCGACATTGGAAGCAATTCTCGAGACTATAGATGCTTTATCAGGTCATAGCAAAAGAAACTATACTAATGGATGGATTTTCATTTGCGGGGAAAGCTCGAGGTCGGAAATCGGCGTTAACCATGAAGCTACTACGTGTGAAGGAGCGATATGACTAGCCAAGCCCTGCAGACTGGAGATAGTCTCTGTCAGCCATTTCTAAACGCCGAAAGCCGAAAAAAAGAGACATGGCAGTTTGCGTAAGTGGTGAAATTTGCAGGGCCAAGGATTGATTGGCGTCGTTGTAGACAAGTCAATTTCTAGGCTGCCACGGAGGTCACAAGCTGGTTTATCCAGCTGTTCAAAATTTTCACGCTACTACCACTAAACTGTCCCTTGACTGACTCTATGTTCATCTTGGGTCACATTCCAATCGTCAAGCTGGCGTGCTTTTGCCTTTCTTCGCTCCTCCCATTTGAAGGCAAAATGAATGCAAACGAACAACACCGCTGCCAAGCATGAAAGACCTAGATACAGCTTTGCTCCAATACGCCAGTGGGGAGCTTCCGATGCTGGATATGCAGCTATGGGAAGGAAGGCACTTAGCAAATACGCGAAGAGGGTTCCGGTGGCGAACAAAACGGTGCGAACTTCTGGCTCCGTCTCCAAATGGGCAGCTGCCCACGCACACAACAGCATTGTTGAGACCCTAAAAAATAAATATCAGCTAGACAGCCGTACCTTCTGGATAGGTGAGGCTTACGCTCCAATATAGTCCATATACCACCCAGCCATATAGGTGTGCTCATTGCTCGGTTGGATCGTCAGGATTATGAGTGATACAATGTTGATCATCTAAATTTGGTCAGTACTGAGCAGTGCTTACTCAGGACCGACTTACCGAATGCAAGAGGAGGAATGGCAGTCTGACTCCAAAATAGTCACTGAACCCACTGAAAAGGATTTCAGCGACAAGTTGGATTGCTTGGCCAGCGATCGGAAGGTAGTCGAGCATGGCCACGGAGCTATATTTCATCAGCTTGGATGCATAGAATGGTAAGGAACACATACTATTTAGCGGATCCATTAGGGTTCTTCAACGACTTGAGCCAGAGGTTGAAGTAGCTCGTTGGCGTTGTGCCGGTGCCGATTGCCCACGCGACTGTGTCAAGATCAGTTATGCGTGCTACAGCAAAGTGAGGTGGAGGCATACTGGCGAACAACCATAAATGCCAGAATCTGAAGCAACGCAGAAAGCTTTTGACGTGGATGCCGATCTGCGGTTTCCGGCCCACGCGGCGTGTACGTGCAATGGCAGTCTCTGTATGAGTTTAGCCAGTTTCTCCACAACTCCTATAACCTTTACATACTAATATGCTGCGGCCCGAGATAGATCTTGGACAATGGATTTTGCCTTTCGGGCTATAGTCACTTAGCAGGGTATCCCACCCGAAGAGCTGGGAATTCTCACAAAGCCAGGTAGGATGACAAATGCCAACAAGGCAATGAATATGGTGCAAACTCCCTACCAGGGATATGAACTAGTCAGCTTCGTCATCTCGAGTATACAATCGGGTCGAACATACGTTTATGATAAAAGCCCATCTCCAACCACTTCGCCCCATGACACCTTCCAAATTGGTTGACATTGCGCCCTGCATGGCACCCGAGAGCATTGCCCCAACTGGCTGAGCCATGTTATACAAACTCATACGCAATGCCATCTCGTGCGGGAGATACCATTGACTTTACTTGTTAATAGTCTCACTACCTGATTATCTAGAAGATTCAGCGACTTACCTGATAATGGTAAAGTAGCCAGGCCACGTCGCACCTTCAAAGAAGCCAATGAGAAAACGCAAGCCATACACCTAACCGATTAGTTGTGCCGGTGCTTGTCGAAACGCTCGGGGTAAATACCTGTTTAGCAGACGTGACAGTGGATAAGCAACAGGTGAGTATACCCCATAGAACCTATTTCCTTGGTCAGCTATATGAATCCCCTATCTGACGAAGACTTACTTCGCATGCTGGCAGCCATATAGCTGGCCCGATGTGGGAGATAATGATGCATGATGGGTAGAGCATAATCATGTATCCGATACTGATGGAGTCAGAATTGCCGGTAGTCAGAGGTGATGACATACTTGAAGAAGGTCGTGAAATAATTGTACTCGTTACCATAGAGTTCGAGATCTGTTTCCATTCCGGAAACGTAGGCATTGCTCTGCCGATGATAAGTACACATTGTTTATGTGATGCATGCGGGTACTAACAATGTTCGTTTGGTCCAGGTACTTGAATGCATATCCCAGAAACCCCACGACGAGGAAGAAGCAGTCGAGTCGCCATACCTAGAATCGGTCAGTCGATGCACACATTTCCGATGTTGTGGACTGGAAATAATACCAGTGCCCTCTCATCCTCCGGCCGTATCTCATCAGATACCTGCTCGTTTACAGATGAGACACTATCAATAGGGCCTTTATTATTATCGTCGGGCGTATCCATCCTAGCGAACTTTCACTGAAAATGAGAAATCATAAAGCCGTGGAATTCGGATTAGAGCCTACGACCGGTATAAATTTCCAGCGACATTAAGGTCGTGGGAGGAAAGCGCGTTCGGTGAGGTCTTATCGGCGACCTGCAGGCATGGCATCAAGGCGGGATGTGAAGGCGTGCTCTGTATAGCCCGCCCCGCTCAATTGGTCTGATGCACGCCGTTATTCGCCAAGCAGACCAGGAAGCTGCTGACGTTGAGGTCTAGAAGATCGTCTCCGATAAAGATGCAAGTGCAATACTCTAACTGTAGCTATCAAATTAGGTAAAATCCGGCACCGGCGTCAAGTATCCTAACTACGCCACCAGCCGCCAAGATTACGAGACATTTGTCGCTCAAACAAATAAGAAAAATGATTCAAGCCATCCCAAATCCATACGATTATTATATCAGTGTAATATGATGACACAATATTATACCTAATCCCATCCTGGGTAATTTGACGACTACACCACTGAGCTCTGACCAAGGAACGCAGGTAGACTAAGCAAACGAAGCCTTGTTCTGCTGCAAGAATTCCTTCCAGCTGGTGAGTTTATACCCCGCCTTAGCCACCAAACCCTTACTCTCGTTGAGGCTCCGACCATTGAAGTAACCCGGGCTTCCAATAAAGAGGTGATTCTCGAGCATTTCCTGACCCATCGGACCCGGCATGAATGACTTGTACGTTTCGGGATCGACCTGCACAAACTGGGACTTCTGTCCGGTCACCTCTTCGAACTCTTCGAGAATGCGAGTAGAAGTGTAGTAATCCTCCGCCACGAGGATCTGCGTGCCGAGTGTCTCTGTCCGATTCTTCAGAGAGGCGGCGATATATTTACCTACATAACTTATCAGTCAGGGCACTCATACTAGAGCAAACGGCTTAAAGATCACATACCCATATCACCCGCGATATCAATCAACGGAAACTTAGCCTCCTTTCCAACAGGATAAGCAAGAGACCATACCCCGTTCTCGCCCTTCCGCAGCAGACCAACAACAGAGTAATTGGTCATGAAATACCCCGGCAAGACAAAGGTAGCCGGAACTCCCAGCGAGCGAATATACTGCTCGACCTGGGCTTTGTGATCGAAGTGATGGACATTCTTGAGACGTCCGGCTGTGGTCTCTGTCACGTTGAGCAGAGAAGAGAAAATGAGATGCTGGACGTTCAACTCCTTGGCCACGTCGGCAACGTTCTTGCCGTGGACCCATTCTGCATCAGATCCAGCAATACCCCAGGCGGGAGTGGTCACAAGGAAGACAGAGTGACTGCCCTCGAGGGCGTTCCGGATAGAGCCTTTGGAGTTCATGTCCGCCTATGTAGTCTGTTAGAGTGGGTTTGTGGTAGAGTTATGGGATGTCAAGCCTTACATTTCGGATTTCGACTCCCTGCTTGGCCAATGCCTGGGCTTCTGGTTTGCTAGCATCGCGGGTTATACCGCGGATCTTGAATTCCTTGGAAAGTTCGGGGTCGTTGAGGATCGTGCGGATGACGGACCCGCCCTGTTGGCCAGTGGCACCGAAGACAGTAATGATCTTGGACATTTTGTCGTGAGAGGTAGATGAATCGTTGGGTTCGTTGAGTTTGTATTGCGTTCAGTCTGCTGAAGTAATTGCCAATGGAAGAGTTCTGCTGCATGGAATTGACCCGGGGCAAGCCTCCATTAAATGTCCCTGGGCCACCCACAGCAGCTGACCAAGATTGAGGTCTCTTTCATGTCCCTTTCGGCTTCAATGTCAGAGAGATGAATTACAAAATACCCCTCGTATATCGGCTTCATATGGGACCGAGGTTAGTAAGAGAGACATTGAAGCCTGACTAAAAGTGGACGAGGGTCGGGTTTGAGATCAATGCCGAGGGGGATCGCCACCCCGACCGTGACACATCTAAAAGTACATGATGGCCATGTTCCATGATCGCTTTCTCCACAACCCGATTTCACATACACGTTACATATCCGTTTACATATAATTATACATATGATTATATTGATATTGTATGTCGAATTATTTTCCACATTTGATTTATGCCGACCAGATACGTCCTTCAAAGGGGTTGAGAGCCCGACCGTTACAGCAATGGCTCCCACAGCCACTCCATGCCCGAGACACCAAAACCAGCCATCCCTAGCGAATAGACATCTGAGGGAATAAAACCTTGATCCAGGGAGATCGGGGAGACATCCATGCCTGGAGCAGGGTTGGTATCTAAAGACATCAACTCCGAACCCATACTATCACCATCCTTAACCTCCGTGCCCAGAGAGGAGCCTGGCGATACACCCATTTTGGCTGCCCTAGTTGAAGCTGTCCGTTGCATCAACCGCTTGAGCGGCTTCCGGAGCATGACACTCTGAGGCGAGCCATCCTGCTCCCATTGCCGCTGGATCTCCGTCACCACCTGCCAGGCATGATCGGTCTCGGCCGTGATCGGGCGGTTGCACAGCTGGGCAAGAATGAATGCGACCGTGTGCCATTGCTTATACGTCTTGCACAACCACGCCCAGTGTGAAGTACTCTCGTTGGTATGCAGCAGAATGGTGAATTTGATGGTTTCGACGGCCGCCCGAAAGGCATCATCGCAGGCGGCTTGCGAGCATTCGGATTCAGACCCATGGCTGGGGATTTTGTTGTAATGAGCGTACAACCACAGCTTCGACAGGGTCAACCGAATGATCATGGCGTAAACCCATTGAATTGGGATATTGATGTCCAAGTGTTGCAAATACCGATTTTCCAGACGGTTCGCTACAGTGGTAACTAGCGGTTCCTGATCGGCCGAGGATTCTGGATCCTTTGCACCATTACGTCGATTTGGCCAGTTGAGTTCCGAGATGATCTCGCACTGAATAATGAGGAGGGTGATATCAGTGGCGCCTGTTTTTTCCGGTGGCAGCTCAGTCATCGAAGGGGTCAGATCTTCCCCGTCAATGTTATGCGGGAGTCGAGTGTCAAACATGCCTGGCTGGATCTGGGTGTCGGTTCCTTGGTCTTCGGAGCACACCATATCCAGGACACAGATGTGCCACCATAAGCGACGCCGCATTTCCGAGTCAAACGGGCTGAGTCCGAGGCTTTGACCGTCGCGATGGACGCCCTGTCCCTGAGCCACACGAACCACGACGGCAGACGCCGCCCAGACGAGTCTGGCATCCCCCCTCCAACGAAGGCAGAGCAAGAAGATCACTGCAGCTTGCAGAACACTGATATTTTGAGCTTTGATGAAGTTGGCTCTCACCAAAGCCTGGTCGACTGCAAGCTGGTAGCTCTGAACCGCCTTTTCGCAATCTACACCCACCAAGCTCATGCACTGGTCTGGGGGTAAACTTACGATGGCAGCAAAGCACACGGCCAGAATGAGTGCTTCGCGAGAAGGGTCCGGATTGATGTTCTCGGACTCTTCACGAACCATGATCTCCACAGACGGTACGTGTAGAACGGCAAGTAGCGGGGCTACATTGTTTTTGTAGACTTGCCATAAGCGTTGGAACTGGTCCGGCTGCAGGTAGGTGTCTCGTAAACCGTGATCCTGCCAGTTGCCCCCAAGGCTACTGGCGAAATGCAAGCCGGATGCCTGCGGGGTCTCCAGTTCATCCTCGGAGGATGATGCATCACAGATGTCCTGTAGTTCTCGGATCTATAGTGATCACGAACACACCCGTCAGGGTCCTTGTGGGGAGTAGAACAGGATTATACGAGGAAGGGAGATCTAACCTTATCCCCCAGCACGGCTGAGGGTGCATCCCCCACATAACGACTTTTACCTTGCTTGACCACCAGCCTGCCTTCCCGCTGGCCTGGTTCCAGTGGGCCAGCGGCCTCCTCCTGAGAATGGCCGAGTGGAGACGAGCTAGAAGCCGATCCAGCCTCCGCAGGTTGCTGAGCTTGGGCGCGCAGGAGCTGGACCTCTTGCTCCAGGTGTCGCAGCTGGGCCAGCACCTCGGCAATTGGGGGGCGTTTCAGCTGTCGAGGTGCTCGTTTAGGACCGGGAAAGACACATTGTTCGCTGCCCTTGACACATCGACCGCAGGGAAACCTCCGGTCGCATCGGACCTTCCGGCGGTTGCAGGGGATGCAGCTACGGGGATACGTGCCACTATCATCCATCTTGCGACATCGCCATCCCTGAGAGGGGTTTTCAAGAATGAATCTGGCGGAACAGAGGGTATGATGTTTGGAGATTGATTGGGTTGGGTTGGGAGAAAAGAGGAATCGGGCGCGGTCCGAGACACTGACAGAAGGAGAATTGAAACCCACGGTCGCGTCTTGCGGATCTTCACCGACGTCTGATTTTAACACAACCAGCAACCGATTACTGACCTCTCTTAGTCTGCTCCGCACCCACCATCACATTGTATATGATTACTTTCACTGCTATATATGAAGCTAGGATAATAATGTAAGAGTCGCTGTCCCAGCTTGCTCGCCGTGTGTCACTTTCATGCTCCCCAATCCTCCCATGGGCGCCATCACCCGCTCTTGCTTGCCTCAGGGGGATGTTACTTGGGACGATCCAACAGCAACCATTAGGTGCGAGGTTGAGATTCCTTTCCTGGATAGTAGTCCAGTGTGCATCGTGCATGCTGCTGTGACGAGAGGTCCCGTCGTGGCCAACCGGGATTATTCACCGTTATTTCTGCAGCCCCGACCGTGCTGGGAGGGAGTCCTTGCCTCCCGAGTTCAACATCTGAGTGATGTTCCCTTGTTATTTATACTGTTCCTCTCCTAGACACATTCAACTCTTCGCAGGCCGCAGCGAGGCTGTCTCGGAGGGCAACTCAGGCAGCAGCGTCTCCGACGAGCCAACCGGTTTGTCGTAGTAGATGTCAGGCACCACCTCTGCTGGGAGCTCGGCGATGAACTCAGCGGGCAGTTCGGCGGGTAACTGGACGATCTCATTGGCGGGCATCTCGATGGGCATCTTCTGGATATCCGTTCCTGCAGATGACTGTGACGGCCGTCCGGACGAGATGGAGCCTTTAGTGGATGCCGAGGAGGTCGCGTACAATTCTGGTCGAGGAGCAAAGAGATCGGAGCGCAACACGCGCATCAACTCGTCCGCCTCATCTGGAGGTGGGAATTGGCCCTCGATCAAATCGCGCGCTTTGATCTTTTTTCCGTATAGCTTCTGGTTTGCGCCGCGGCGTTCAAAAATCATGCTCCCTTCTGTGCTGAAGCCACCAAAGAAACCCTGATTATGACCGTAGACGAAAATGCCCGCCATTCCACCGGCACTGACCACCCCGTTGACCTCTCCAAATCTACCCGATGGACCCATGGCAAACGAGGCAGTCTTGCCCAGGGACAAACTCCCCAGCTGGGCGAATGTGCGAACGGCGCTGGTTGTGTTGAGGACGAATACAAAGTTGGTCACCTCCAAGCCCACCTGGGACCCTACTCCAACTCCCGCTGTCAGAATGGCCGAAGGCGCAGACCAGTCGCCCTCCTCGAGGCGGGCGATTAAGATGCCCGAGCCCATTCGTACTGATCCAACGATACCCAGTTTTGATACAGAGAATATTGCAAAGCCCTGCGCTCGACCGGTCAGTCAATGGCGTGGGGATTATTCGCGACCGTTGTAATGCCACTTGCCTTGGCAGCTCCGAGGATCTTCGGGGGAATGAGACTATCGCGGCCGTCTGGGTTCAATGGGTTCGTAAAGGCATCTAAAATCTGGGCGGCTTTGTTACATTCACCTGCAGGAATTGTTGGTCAGTCGCTGTCTTTTGTAGCAACCGCAGAACCCAGGCCGGCGTCGCTATGTGTGGTATAGACGGGGGAGTGAGCCTACTGCGAAAGGAGCCCGGGAAAGGGCTGTGCATTTTCCGGAGCTTCTCGAATGGCGGCATGGTTGCAATGATCCTTCTATTCCAGGCTATGATGAAGAAAATCGATGAATGATTCGCTCGCGATACAGGAGCAGAGTGACGCAGAAACAGAAAATCCAAGCTCCTCATTCAAGTGGGGGAAGTGGTTTAAAATCGACATTGTGACTCTCTGTTATCTTAACTAGCGGGGGGCTTGTGTTGAGGCGCAATTTAGGTGTTCTTTGCTCCTTCCAATCAGTAATCCAGGCTACTTGGATCATCGTGGTGAGTGGAGGAGCTAAAGTCGGCCAGCGCATGAAATCAATGGATTGGGGGCCAGCAGGATCAGCTTGTGCAAGCCAGAGTGGATCCCATCATTCTTTCTCTGCCGTGTCCCATGCACGCTGACCATCTCAATTCAGCAACCACTTCGGTGGGGGTTCTCATTCATGACGAACTTGTGCATTCTCGAATACTACTACATTTCTGCTTTGTAGGCCACTCTTGTTTCAAATAAGCGGCTGAGACAGTGGGGTGTTTCGAATTGCTTGCCGAATTAGCTCTGGTTTATCTCGATATCATAATCGCAGTAGTAGTAGATATATATTTCCGTTTTGAGCAGCTGGCAACTACCCCGAACGCTGTTAATACCCCCCACTTTATATATTGAATTGGTATTGGCAAACGACAAGGAACCGCACTATAGCCTCATCCTTACCCCTACAGGATGATAAGAAT